TCGTTCTTTTCATCGTCTTTTCCAGAATATGTAAGTGTATGTAGGAATAAACTCGTACGCGCATTAAGATACAAAGTGAACGAAAAAAGGAAAATTGCGTAAAAGCTATTTTTATAAAATGATTTTTTGTTGTTTCTGTTTTTAAAAAATTTTTAATATACATATTAGCCAAATAATAAATATATACAAATATAAGCATATAAAAATTGGGCTTTTTATACTATGTATAATGCCATGGTAAGTCGAGATGAAGCAAAATGTTAACTAGTGTCTTACGTGCAATAGTCATTTGAATGTTCTGAAAATCTTACTCTTCTTCCAGAACGCGTTGTTTTAAGTTCATTTTCAGCTACTGTCGAAGTATCATCGTGTGTCTTGGTTGTCGGATGAAGTGTCGGAGTCGTGTCGTTCGACTGCACCGAAGGAAAACCGACGTGGATAGGATTTCCTTCTAAATACGCTGCTTTGAGGCGATCGATGCTGATGCTATCGTTGGTTCCGTTCTTATCGATCATATAATACTTCGGTTCGGGTTGAAGAACTTTGAAAGGTCCTTCTTTTTTTTTCCTGATTCGAAAGGTCGTCGATGCGAGTCTCGACGTACGAAAACGTATGTACTATATCGTAATTCAGGTTGAACGAATACATCAGTTGATTGAGGCCGAGTGGAAACAGGTTTAACTGAACGCATTGCGTTTGTAAGCCTGCTCGTGTAGGATGTTAGATCCATGTTCATTGACGAAGATGAACGATCCACGAATTCTCCTGGAAGTCGAAGTGTCGTTCCATAAACGAGTTGAGCCGCAGTGTATCCAATGTCAGCTTTCACTGCATTGCGGTTACCTAGTAAAATGAGTGGAAGAGCGTCAGTTCACTGTGAAACGTTTGCAGCTGATAGCGAAGCTTTTAGTTGTCGGTGAAAACGTTCTACCAACCCGTTTGCTTGTGGATGGTAGGCGGTCGTTCGGAAGCGAGTGATTCCTAAAAGTGTGGCCAAAGAACGGAAAAGTTCAGACTCGAACTGACGTCCGTGGTCTGTAGTGATGGCTGAAGGGCAGCCGAAGTTTGCTACCCATTGTTCGACGAAGGCGCAAGCCACTGTTCCAGCAGTGATGTCCTTGATAGGTACTACTTCTGGCCATCGAGTGAAACGGTCTACACAGGTTAAGAGGTAAGAGTATCCATTTGAATCTGGTAAAGGTCCTACCAAATCCAGATGAACATGGTCGAAACGAGCATCGGGAGTTTTAAATGAGATTAAGGGACATTTATTGTGTTTGATAACCTTAGATTTTTGACAGCTTACACAGGAGCGTGCCCACTCCCTCACGTCTTTATTCATACCAGGCCAGCAAAACCGTTCTGCTAAAAGCTTGATGGTTGCACGAACACCTGGATGAAAACGTTTGCGCAACGTATTGAAAACGTTGCGTCGATAGTGTTTCGGTAGGATTGGGCGGTCCCTACCTGTAGATGTGTCACACAGTAAGATTTCCTCACCTCTTCCCATGTGCTTGATGCGTGGCTTGAGTGTTGTAGACGATAACTCGTGCTGAAGATCACTGTCTTCTTTTTGAAGCTGGGCGAGTTTAAGAAGGTCGATTCCTTGGGAACTGTTCAAGGAAGTTATTCAAGACAACGCGTCTGCGACTACATTGTTAGCTCCAGAAATGTGTTGAATATTTAATGTAAACTGTGAAATGTAGTCCAGTTGTCGAGACTCACGAGGTGAGTACTTGACTGAAGAAGAGCTTAAAGAGAAGGTAAGCAGTTTATGGCCAGTGAAAAGAATGATTTCACGGCCTTCGATGTAGTGTTGAAAATGTCGTACAGCACAACACATAGCTAGGAGTTCCCTACCGAATGTGCTGTACCTCGATTCACTGTCTAGCAACCATCTAGAAAAAATGCCAAAGGTTGCCGGGAGATGTTAACCCATTGATGTAAGACTCCTCTGAATGCTGAGTCGGATGCGTCTACTGCGATAGTAATGGGTGCTTCGGTGTTCTGATGTGCGAGCATTGTTGCTTTAGCGATCAGTTCCTTAACTGTGGAGAATGCTTTTCGTGCGGTGTCGTCCAAATTAATGGATTTCGCATTTCCACGAAGTTGGTCGGTTAGCGGTTTCATAAGTAATGCGCATTTCGGTATGAATCGTCTATAGAAACTTACAAGGCCGTTAAACGTGCGTAATTGCTTGATGGTGGTCGGTTCTGGGTAATCCAGAATGGCCGCCACTTTGGTTTTAAGGGGTCGAATGCCTTGCGCTTCTATAGTGTATCCTAGAAAAAATTCGTAGAGTCCGAAAGTAGTTATGATGGCGGTTTTCGGAATATCGTCAGCAGCCATAGTGATTTGGTTATACGCTAACCAAGTGGATTTCCGAAAAGACAGTTGTACATTTCAAGGTAGCTGTCAAATCGTGAATGTGAGGCAACGGGTAACGACCAGGAATAGTTTTCGTATTCAATCGCCGATAGTCATCAGTTGGACGCCAATTGTTGCTGTCCTTTGTTCAACGGAGATGCATATGGGCTATTTGACGGTCGCAGGATTCCTAAGTCTATCATGTGATCGAACTAGTTTTTCGCCGACCTTAGCTTTTCAGGGGCTGGTCGTCGTGCTTTAGAGAATACAGGTGGTGCTGTAGTCATGATGTGGTGTGTAACGTTGATGGTTACACACGGTAGTTTCGGTTGCGTTTGATGAATCCCAGGATACTTATCGAGTAGTGGTTGATAAAGTGAGTCTATCGTATGCTTAACTAGGACTAGGGATAACTGCAACCGGCAAAAGAATTTATGCAAACGGATAAATTAGTGTTTCCGTCTACTAGCCTCCGTTTGCGCGTATCGGTGATTAAATTATGGTGTTGTAGAAGGTCCATACCAATAATTGGCATAGAAACACCTGCAACAACGAAGATCCAGTGAATGGGTTTGCGTAAACCCATGTTAAGATAAACGTACCTTTCGCTATACGTTGCGATAGGTTTTCCGTTTGCCGTAAGTTTAAAGCCGATTTGTGCAGCCGGTCGTTGGAATTCGCTGGGAGAACGCTAACTTCTGCGCCAGTGTCGACGAGGTAGTGAACCTTCGTTGTCACATCTGTGACGTACAACATACGGCTATGTTCGCCGGCTACGGTTGCCGTTAACGCGTGCCGGCTTGGAGGTTTCCCGAGTTGTTTTTCGAGTCAGTCGGTTTCGTGTTGGGAAAATGGAAGGGTTTTCTGCAATTTCTGGAAGACTTTTCATACTGGTTATGATACCAGCACCAGTCAGAGTTATCAGTCTCCCGTGGTCTAGAGAAAGAGCGTCTACGTGAAGTGCTTCTACGTGGGGTGTGTGACCGTTTACGGTCGTTACGAAATTTAAGATAACGTGTAAGTGCATGACATAACTCTGTAATGTCATTCTGGGTCGTTTGAGGCTTTTCTTTGACCGAAAAAGCCTCGGCATTAGAAGATTTCGTGATTTCTAAGATGCGTTCGGCATATGCATCCAGCTCGTTTAAGGCGTTGTCTTGAAACGAGACCATCACAGCTCGCACCTGCTGAGGAAGTTTGGGTAAGAAAATTTGTTTGAATAGGCCATCATCGAAGGTTCTTTGGCTGATAACCTCTCTTATTCTTTGCAACATGTCTGCCGCAGAACCGTGTTGCAGGTCGATGTTATTGAGGAGTTGGTCTAACTTTGTCTATCAGTTATGTCTCCGTGTTTAAGGATAGATCGAGTAAATGTTTTGTAAGATTCTAAAACATCACTAGTAAACATACTAGGTGTTACGTACCTATTGAATTCGCGCGGTGGTGCCTTGAGTACTGCGAGGAATGCAGCACGTGTGTTGTTCACGCCGTGCTTGTGGAAGTCGGCTTCTGCGTAGCAGATCCAGGCCTCGATGCTCTCTGGTCAGAAGGGCATGAGTTGGAACGAGGGTGGGGACATAGTCTTTAACTTAAGTACCATGGGTATCTGTTCAGTCATGGTGCAATATCGAGTAGGAGAATGAAGGGGTGAGAAAAAAGTATATATCCAAAAACACGGAAAAGATATCACAATGTATAAAAAATTAAGGTAAGGCAATGTATATGATATATAGAATCCCACAGTTTACGATTTGTTGTACCAGATCACGTCGGGCTCACCAACGAAGATGTCACAGGTATTCGGAGCTTGAAAATGCTCTAAACAGTAACACCTAACATGAATCGTAACCACCAAGTGAAATCAAAAGACAGAAGCGAGGAGGTTCGAAGATATATTTGATAGTCTATCAATATATCGATGATCGTCTGATCTAACCTGACTAGCGATTGCAAGGGTTGTTGAGCACGGCGTTCCTACTCGTGATCTGGTGCGGATGTATGGCCGAGTGCCTTCAGCTAGGTGAGTCCATTAAAACTAATGTGGTTAGCATCCAATGTTGGAAACTTACAGAGCTATTTATCTTGGGGACTTATTTACCGCTTCATATACATACGCCTAGCCTTAGCCTAAGAAAGACTGAGTTGTTTGAAGAGTTCCGAAGAACCTGAAATGACTTGATTTTCGGAAAAGCGAATCTCCCTTATAAAGACAAACTGGTCAAACCAAACTTATTTTTCTTGTCGTATAAACACTAGAGGCGACTTAGACACAGCTTTAAAATTACTTAATGATAAATTTTCATCGTACATACCCTTTCTAAAAACAGCGGATTCAAGAGGATATCCTGAAAATGTTCACAAGGCCAGGACAAATTACTTGCCAGCTTATTATCAACTTTCCCGGGGAGAGCCTCTTCTTTTCCGTCCAGAACCATTTGAATATTCAACCGAAACTCCATCTATCTCCTCATCCTAAATTTAGTATTTCTTAAGAAATTCGGATCACCTGGGAGACCACCAACGTCAGAAGTAAAACAGATCATTCAGCTTCTTGCTCTTTCTAAATTGGAGCAGAATTACTTGGAGTTCATCAAGTGAAATGCTTTTTTGAATCCGTCTATGTCCTCATGAACCCACTTTTAATATCAAGGTCACTGGTGTCAGCGTGACTTGGGGTGGGCTTATTTGCACTGTTTTTTTAACTTAATTCCAATGAAAATCGATTTAGCTGTAGACTAACATAGTGAAAAGATTTTTAAAATTATTTTTGGTCGCATGTGCATACGTTAGCACATGCTTTTTTGACAAAATAATAGCGAACATGACCCTGAGCTCCCAATTTTCGGGAAATTTAGGGGAAATCGCACCAAAACCCCGAAGTCTATATAGACTTGTAAGTGTCATGTTCGCAGAGTAGATTAATTAACTTACTTTATCAGACGCTGTAACTAGACATTTTCATAGAATTGTCAGGTAACAGTTATATCTGTCACGCAAGGGTTCTTTTTTGTAATAGCTGAAACCTGTTCCACAATGTCAGCTCCATATTTGAGATAACTGCTACATACTAAATCTTGACATACAGCTAAAATAAGCCTTTTTAAAATTCCTGAAGACTCATGTAATTCATATTCGTATTAATTACCAAGTAGTCACTATCTATTCTTTCAAAATATTCAGATCAGTATATTTGGATGCTGAGGACTTCGTTTTTCCCTGGACTTGTACATAATTCCCACTACCACGTCCTATTACTGCAGGACCATTGATCTTCCTAGATTTGGACCGTATGGTATCGAAATCAGTTACCTGGTTAGTGAGTTGGTATGCTACTATGATCCCGCCCTAAAGATTTGTCTTCTCTCACGAGTTCTTGCAACTGGTTGCAGTGTTATTTCCCTGCTTTGTCAGTAACTTAATGAGAATATCTGTTATTGACATCCTGAATTATCTATTAATCCACTTAAGCGCATAAGCAGCATAGAGGAGCACCAAATATATATATGCGTCACACTAATTGGACGGGTGAAACAGGAAACTCCCTGGCTGTCCGAACCGAAGCAAAATATTAAATAACCACACATTTTTATATACCAATTGGCTATAGATAATATATTTAATTATGGGCATAGATTTGGTACATAGGGACACCAAATGAACGGTCCATACATATGCAGAGGTAATACAGTAAAAAAGGAAAAGCAACACTATTTAAACGAAAATATACTTGAACAAGAACAAAATGTGGTAGAGGGTATCATTCAGTTAACACCCTAGTTAAGAAAGTTCTTTCACTAAAAATCGTTCTTATGACGAATGTAGAAAGCAACTATAGCGTGGTCTCCATCAACCTCTATTTTGAGCTGTTTGTAGCGTCGTTTCAAGTCGCACTATCTGTGGGGCCTCAACCACAGTCGTAATTGACCGGCGAATAGCGGTCCCACCCACTTTCATGCCACGGCGTCAGTTTATAAACAAACCACCTCTGTTTATTCCAACCCATCCGTATCTACATAAAATACATAGTGCGGGGTTGTGATAGCACTCGTGACGCACTTCTAAGCCACCAAAGTTGGTGTTTCAAGACAGCGATACCAGTCAAATTATCACTATACCCGAACTCATTACCGAGTCTCACTATTAATAATTATATATATATATATATATATATATATATATATATATATATTCGTAGGTTACTGGTATTCTATCATAGGTGTCTACGAAGTATGAGGGCCGAACAAGCACTGCTAGAGTGGATCTCCGTCAACAGTCGTCTATGTGCTGTTCGGCTGAACGGCTACGTAAGAACTCGGAAGGATAGGGACACACGTCGTTGCTTTTTTGTCGTTTCTGCCTACGCTCCCACTGACTGCAGCTCAGATGAAGTGAAAGATGAATTTTACAGAAAGGTCTCTGAACTTCTTCAGAAAGCTAAACGTTCAGACATAGTACTCGTAGCAGGTGATTTTAATGCTCAGATAGGCAGTTTAAACCAAACAGAAAGACATTTAGGTGGATATTTTAGTCTCCCGACACAGCGAACAGATAATGGTGATCGTCTGCTGCAGCTATGCTCAGACAATCGTTTATTTTTAGCAAATACAAATTTTAAGCATAAGGAGAGACATCGTCTAACATGGCGACCCCCTACAGCAAACCAACGATGGACTCAAATAGACCATATTGCCATCAGTCATCGTTGGAGAGGGTCGGTAGAAGATTGTCGCTCATTCTGGAGTACCTGCTTGGATTCCGACCATGCCCTAATACGGGCACGCATCTGCTTGGGCCTCACTGGACGCAAAAGAACCACATTAAAAAGACCCGTTAGAACTGAGTTGAGTAACGAGAAAACCAAAAGTAGGTTCCAGGAACAACTGAGGTCACACTTAGGTAGATGTGAAGACGAGGCTGACCCAGATGTTGCTTGGAAGGGCATACAATCAGCTGTGGAAACAGCAGTGACATCTATTAGTGACTTAAACCACAGAGTTGCAAGGAACCAGTGGATTTCTTCAAGGTCTGTCACACTGATGGATTCTCGCAAACTCGTCCCATCAGGTTCTGAACATGATGAAGAGCGTAAACAAATCAGATCTAGGTTAAGAAAAAGTCTAAGGAACGACCGTGAGCAGTGGTGGGTAACGAAAGCAAAAGAGATGGAAAAGGCGGCGACTATAGGGAACACAAGACGGCTTTACAGACTTATAAAAGAAACTGGAATTAATAAATCAAGTGTAAGTGAGATTATTTCGGAAAAAGATGATACTCTCATCTGCTCCCAGTCCAGACGTTTAGAACGATGGGCGGAACATTTTAGAGAACATTTCAGCTGGCCTTCAGCTTCTCTACAACTACCCTCCATTCCCAGACAGTGTGAATGGAACATTGAAGTAGGTCCCCCAACTCTTGCTGAAGTTCAAAAGGCTATAGTTAATCTGAAACGAGGAAGGGCAGCTGGTCCAGATAGACCGGCTTCAGAGGTCTTTAAGGATGGTGGTCCAATTTTAGCGATTAGGTTGACTAATATTTTAGCTAAGATCTGGGAGTCAGACGTTATTCCATTTGACTGGTCGCAATCACTTATAGTCCCAATATATAAGAAAGGGTCAAAATCATCCTGTGACAACCACAGAGGGATTAGTTTAACAAACATAGTATCTAAAATACTGGCCTCGATAATTATCGGACGCCTAACTAAGACTCGTGAACTGCAAACACGAGAGAACCAAGCTGGCTTTAGACCTGGTCGTGGCTGCATCGACCACATATTCACCATTCGTCAGGTTCTAGAACACAGGCATACTTATCGGCGTCCGACGATGGTGGTCTTTCTTGACTTAAAAGCAGCATTTGACTCTGTAGACCGCGAGACTCTGTGGCAGTGTCTGTCATTGAAAGGCGTACCTCAGAAGTACATAAACCTTGTGAAGGCTCTTTACTCGAACACTACCAGTCGAGTCAGGGCTTATGGCGAACTGTCATCTACTTTTGCAACCTCAAGTGGTGTCCGTCAAGGCTGTCCACTTTCTCCATTTTTGTTTAACTTCATCATAGATCTACTGATGGAAATAACTTTCTCGTCGACTGAGTTCTCGGGTATTGATCTCCTACCAGGAGGTCCACTTATCGACTTAGAATACGCAGATAACATAGTCCTGTTTGGTGAAGACGCTGATAGAATGCAGAGTCTTCTGGTAGCACTAAGCAACAATGCCAGAATGTTTGGGATGCGCTTCTCTCCCTCTAAATGCAAGTTGTTGCTTCAGGACTGGTCTGCATCAACACCTGAACTAAGGATAGGGAGTGAAGTGGTCGAACGCGTTGACAACTTCACTTATCTTGGAAGTCTGATCAGCCCTAATGGGTTGGTGTCTGACGAAATCTCAGCACGGATTCGAAAAGCTCGTTTGGCTTTTGCCAACTTACGTCACCTTTGGCGGAGGCGAGATATCTGTCTATCAATAAAAGGACGAGTATACTGCGCGGCAGTTCGTTCTGTTTTAATTTACGGCAGCGAGACATGGCCCTTAAGAGTAGAAGACACCCGTAAGCTACTAGTATTTGACCACAGATGCCTTAGAAATATTGCTGGCATCTGCTGGGATCACCGGGTAAGTAATAGTGAGGTTAGACGCAGGGTATTAGGAAATGATGGTAAATCAGTTGATGAGGTTATGAATCTTCATCGACTGAGATGGTTGGGCCACGTATTACGTATGCCTGAACACCGATTACCATGACGTGCAATGCTAACCGGGGTAGGGGATGGTTGGAAGAAAGTTAGGGGCGGCTAAACCAAAACGTGGCATCAGTTCTTGAAGTCACTAACTTCTAGTCTGAGCCATGTTGGCAGATGCAGACTACTTGGTTGGGGTCCGCGTGACTATTGTAACCAATGGTTGGAGACTCTTGGTGACATGGCTCAGAATCGATCGAAATGGCGTCGGTGTATACACTCCCTGTCTTCCCTTAAACTAAGAGATTAAAATCACTTCATATCTTTCTTTCTACGAACTAATTCTTTCTTCCTTTACTATATCCTTATTGCAATCTTTCTCCTATATATTACCACCTTTGACCTAACCACTCCTATGAATCCGCTGTTCATCCTGCTGTGCTAATGAGGTATGGCAACCTGGACCGATGCACATATGTGCCTGGTCCTACGTTGTAGCTGACTGACGAAGCATTCCTCGGGTGCTTTGAGACCACCATGTAAACAATGCCAGGATTAGGAATAGGATGGTAAATCACTTGACGAGGTAGTGAATTTTCATCAACTGAGATGGTTGTGGCATGTATTATGTATGCCCATCATCTACCGCCTGCCATGAAGGGCTATGATTTCTGGTGTAGGAGTAGGTTGGAAGAAAGCCAGAGGCAGTTAAGCCGAAATGTAGCATCAGTTCGTCACTGACAGTTGTACTTAACCTGCTTTGAGTCGGCGTAATTAATGGTTAGAGACTAAGTGACATGGCTTGAAATTCCCTATAGCCTTTTTCATTTCACGAATTTATATTTTCTTGTATCATATCTTCCATATCTAATCTTAGGTCGTCACTGATACTGTTGCTACCCCTACTTCAGGGATTTTGCCGGACAACATCTCTGTGCTATTGGGGTATGGCAGCTTGAACCTATGTACATACGTATCAGGTTCTACGCTGTGACTGATCACTACCATGTACTTGAGGGCTATTTCCAGAGTGCCATCAGTGACAGTAGAAAAGAAGTGATATTGGAGAACCTTGCATAACCTCGCTACTGAACTGGAATAATGGATTGAGTTGGTTGCATACCCTCACACTGCTTGAAGTACCTGTATGTTAGGCCTTCAAGATGTTAACGAACAGTCCTTCCCAACAAATCAAAGTAGGCCCTGTTATCAAAGAACACCAGTTATTGCTCTCCAATAAATGTGGCGATGTTTTAATATTTAGAGAAGGGTGAAGTTATAGTCAAAACGCTAACTACATGAGCTAAAACTAGCCTGTTCCTCGCTAGCCGTTTCCTGAGTTTTATATCTGTGGATTTTAGTGAACTACAGTAGTCTTGATGCAATCGACAGTAGAAATTCCGCGACAGCTGGTGCGTAGATAACGTAGGTTGCTCTTAAAGAGGGAAAGAACAATTGCTTCGTTCGATGTTGGAACACTATTTATCAAACCTTTCCAAATAACCCAGTCTGCTCTCTGATCAAAAGTTCTTCATCTATATAAAGCCGAGTAGGAGTAATTCATCTGGTTGTGATGATTTTTGATGCTTCAAATGTCGGAGATTCTTATGGACCTCAGACCTATGGGAGCAAGACTAGCAGTAGCAGTACTCTCTCTACCTCTCAAGACATCTCCGGATGCCACTAATTTGCATTTAGTTAGCTTTACTGATTGTCACATTCACACCAAACGTTTTGCTGCCAATAGCTTAGATAAGCTGAAATAGCTTTTAGCAGTTGGCAAATGCTGTTGGTGTTTTCACCACCATAACATTTGTACCTATACCTTTTATTACATTTCATAAAATTGATTGTGAGATATTGCTAATAGTCAATAAGTTGTCTGATCTAAATTAACACTTACGTTGGGATTGTGCATATGTAACAAATTTATTGACATAATCTTATGATCAGTGATCTTTAGACTTTAATGTGTTATTTTACAATATAAGTTATTCAAATACCAATCAGATCTATTACCGATAGCTCCATTAATACAGTTTTATATATGATACTAGTGTATGTAAGTTCATATTAAGTGAGTAAATAACTTATTTGTGGTTCTTATTACTTTCCTAACTCTATAACTTCGTACATATTACATTATCTTTGTAATTTCCCAGCTTTTCATTTGTTTCACATTAAAATTTCACTCAAACAAGATTCTACATGATAATAACATCCTATTGGTTTCATATTTAGTCTTAACGGATTCAATCAATGGAAGCACTACTTGCCTGTGTAGATATTCCTCCAGATTGTCATGATGCTATACCTCTCTTGAATTTGGAAAATAAATCTTTCTCCAAGTTTTTCAAGCGAATTTTAAAAAGGCTAGAAAAAGGAGAGACTTGTGTTCAAAAGGCGTTGCCTAAATTATCAGATAATGATACTGAAGAAGAATCAGAATACGTACTTATTGGGACCGCTCAAGAGGAAAATTCTAGAATATTATTCGCACGACTTCCAAACTCGTCAGGGAGTAATGAAGTATACAAACTTCCATTTGTTCGTTTCACCGTTCGTAGGACTAATGAGTGAGTTATTTTATGGTCTTAGCAACCTCTATTATACTAAGAATATTACTTCTTTACACCTGGTTGTGATAATTAGGACATCACTGTCTAGGACTGATCTTTATAATTTTCTACATTTATCTTTGGTTCTATAGCATCCTATTATAAACTGATCACCCACAGCTATCATCCCTATTGTTGGCAAATTATCCATTATATGAAAACCACTTAACGTAATAAAACCACTAAAGTCGATATTCAAAGATAACATTCCTAGATTAACTAGTTTCAAAGTGTCGAACCTCTAAATTACGTACATAATTTTACTACCAGTTATAAACGGTCCTTACAAAGTGTTTTAACTTTGTTACTGCTCATACATCAACCAAAACAGATGGTTTTATACACGAACCCCTTTCTCTTGTTCACTACACTTTGTCAAACAGGAGGATCAAATTTAATCTAACATACTAATTCAACAGCATAACCTGAGATTATGTTGTTTACGCTCTGAAGTTTTTACCAGGGAATCGAATACCAGTTCATTGCTAAGCTTTCATAATCCGATAAATACTCTCACATGGCTACGTGCATACAACCACGGCAAGGGAAGTCATATTCACACCACGGGTGTTGTTTACGATATTGAGAGGACGAAAACAGAATGTCTGACGCTTTAACTGGGTTGGTGGACATAGTAAGTCCACCTAGGGCAGTTGGGAAACCCTGATTGCAAACCAATGGTGCACATGGGCTCCAGTATCCTGAAGGAACAAATGGCGTCTAAACCTGCTGTTGGTCACTGGCTACCATGGGACTGCATCTCTTGACGTCGCTCCACTGCCTATTGGATCAGAACTTTAGCTCGAAAGCTCCGCGTGTGGCCCCCAAGGAAACCACGTGCATCGGTTTGGGCACCCAGGCAGTATCCCAACCCTCACATACATCGAATGATTTATGTGGCGCATATGTATTTGGTGCTTCCTTGTACCAATGTTTATGTGTTTAAATAAATAAATAAACTGAATCTGCTTGTAATTGTCTTCTATCTAGTGTGCAGTTAAATTTCTCATCCCTGTATTTTTAAACATTATACTTGATCACAGCATTTCTTAGTAATTTTTGTTAGAATTGACCACTCTCTATGAAGAATATAGATTGTGGTTAGCAGTGAGAATCTAGGATATGTTTCCCATTCTGTTTGTAACTCGTCATTCGAATGTACATATATTCCAGTATTGATGTCCATACCCAATCTCGAACCCAACACCTTTCTCTATTAACGCCAAACTGGTTATTGACTGAGTTACTGAATCCTAGATAATCATACACTTGTGATTAGTTTAGTTTTTACATTGTCCATTGTCATTTAAGTAAACTTGTATCTATTAGATAAAAGTCTTGGCGAGACTCTAATTTAGGGATGGCCTTTGAACGAATCTTAAATGACCTTCACAATTATTAGCCAGTCAGAAGACATTTAGTATAAAGTGAAAATATATTATAAGTAAGTCATGAATTACAGTGGATATTCTTCTTTTACATGATTTAAAAACTTGTTAAGATTTGATAAAAGTTCAAAGGTTCTGAATTCATAATGCATATGGTATAGAAACTCGTCCATAGGGCTAGGGTTAGGTTAGGGTGTTAACATGAGATCAGTTTACAACGGATTTTAGAGGTTAGGGTTAGGGTTGTAGCCTCTCAATAAACACCTCTTCCCTAACTCTATGGACGAGTTTCTATACCGTATGCATTTTGAATTCAGAACTTCTGAGCCTTTATCAAATCTTAACAAGTTTTTAAATCATGTAAAAGAAGAATATCCACTGTAATCCATTACTTTCTTGTAATATATTTTTACTTTATACTGTCTTCTGATAGGCTAATAATTGAAGTTGCTCAAACGCTTCTCACTGGCTTGTCCCTAAATTAGAGTCTTGCCGTCCCATATGTTGTAACCTCTCATTAATCACCTCCTCTCTAAAATCCGCTGTGAACCGATCGTATGTTAGCATCGCGTGTTGAACTTGGCTCCGTGACCTTGAAATTGGTCAAACGCTTCTGATTGGCTCGTCCCTAAATTAGAGTCTCGCCAAAGTCTTCTTTTCCTACAGAAAAAAAGTTTCCACTGTACACTCGTTTTAATTTCATTTATTTACCATTGATTTACATCTACTTACCTTAGTCGATTATTTTTAATGTTTAAATTTATAGACCTATAACAAAACAGAATCAGGATACCGCAAATAACAGTAAGTTACCGTTTCACTTTTAAAGAGGTAATTAGTTCAAATTTAGTGATGATCGAAATGATGTCTATCTAATTCTTTTTAGTACTGATTGAATTCTATCGATAAAGTCTCAATATAGCCATTAGTCTTAGTAACTAACTCAACTCTTGACGACACTATATTTTAATGTTCGTTGGTTTCGTGCTTTGTGACACTCGTCAGGAAAGTGTACTGGGAAGGTTTATGGAACTAATGTTTCATGTGATATTCAAACCTAGGTCACTCTGTAGTTAACAAAAACACGAGTGCGGACAATCGAATGTATCTGAATACAGAATTACAGAATCTCTCAGTAAAATCTAAGAATCATACAGTAAATACCTAATTTGCAAAATATTAATTAATTGCCTCAAACTTGACTGTTTCTATTGCAAATACCAGTCCATCGTCTCAGATTTCATTGTTCCTGCATTTTCATACCAATTGCTTTCCGTTCACGTTCTTTCCTTCTCGATCTTCTACTGAAGTAATTTTATTCGTAACTATCGTTATATACTACTTATGTGTATATAAGTAGCACACACAATTTAGCCTCAGTCTGATGTGTTTCCACTTGAGCTATTCGCGTTTATTGGTGACTATCTCCAGCCATTTAGGTAATTAGTTTGTCGGTGTCATTTCTAGTTGCTCTACTTTGTTATATATGGGGAGGGATGAAATAATGATTGAAGTTAAGAAAAATCTTCTTGATCATTGTCATTTTCAGTATCGTCTCCTGAACAACTAGCTCAATAATGAGTTTATTTCCATCAGTTGAACGATCCTAAGACATCTATCATTAAGATTGTATCGAGAATACTGAAGAGGAAAAAGTTATACAACATATGCCGTTTCGCAACAGTTCTGTTAAATGTACATATTTTGGGGAGTAGTTATTTTTTGTGAAATATTAGACTAGAACATACAACGTAGATAAGGTACTGAGTAGAATAAACTGTCGAATATATGTAAAGAATTCAGTGATGTATCAATGGTTAAAGCACTGAAATATCAACCACCAAGCCACAAGCTCAAACACTGCCTTACATACCTTAGTTTCTGATGTGTGAGCAAGGAAAATAATGATTGGTTGTGTGCTTAATCATAGTAATAGTCTGACAAGTAATAAATGAATTATATATTTTCCTGCTCTTATTATTACTATAATTGTTGTCAGTTTTTGGTGTGGAAATATACTTACGTTCTAGTCAGTCTAGCCAGGTGTTCTGTCGAAGTCCTATAGAATAGATAGTGAGCGGGGTATCTCTTTAGTAGAAACTTTGTACACATTACCAATCAATGTAGAACCCTAATGAAAATGTACATCACCAGTCAAGTTGACGCATTGTGTCCGTAGATCTACATAGAATTAACAAGGTGAATATATAATTAGAAAAGAATGAAAAATGAATAAAAACTATAGAATGACTATTGATGCTTCTGTATCACTATGACTGGTTTTGATTCAATGTCATGTCTATACAAAAAGCAATAAATTAATCGATCTCAAATGTTGACGATATTATACTTTTTTAATTATTTCAACAATATAGGCATTGAACCTTATCTACAGGATACTTTTAAACGTCTTGATGATAAAATGGAAAATTTTGGAGCACAATTGTCTAAATTGATAGAATCTTTATCACAGAAACCAGCGCCTCGACCTCCAAGGAAATCGCAAACACCCACAGTAACTGCTAGTGCATCAAAGCCTAACTTAACATCAAAACCTATATTAGCTTCACAACTTTCACCTACTTCCACTTCCAAATCAACACCAGCATCTATAATGAAACCTGGATCTATACCAAAAAATGCATCCACCCCAAAGTCTATGATCATAAATCAAGCAAACTCTATTGTTTCATCCACTGAAAATAAACTCAAATCAACTCCGATTAAATCATTATCATATGGTCATGTTTTAGAAAGCCAACATTTAAATGAAAGTGGCACTAAAAAGAAACAAAATGAATCATCGACACAAGGTAAGCGTTTGATCGTTTTCATAATGTTGGCTACTATGAATTATTTGTAGTGAATATTAATTTGATCACGCACGAAAACTAGTTGAAAAAGGATTTCCTTTCAACTACCAGCTTACATCTCAATTGAATTGCACGCGATATTGAATCATTTAGATTAGTTGTCACATTTCAACTTGATCGATGAAATTCTATCAACATTAAAAAGGATTTAATATACATGACATTAGTCACGATTTATCTATTTTAAAACATAAACATTGGTACACGGAGGCACCAAATAGATATGCGCCGCGTAAATCATTCGATCTATGTGAGGGCTGGGATACTGCTCGGGTGCCCAAACCGAAGCAGGTGGTTTTCTTAGGGGGCCACACCCGGAGCCGTTGACCTGAAGGTCTGGTCCATAAGGCAGTGGAGCAACGTAAGAAGATGCAGTCTCATGGTAGCCGGTGAACAACGATTGGTTCATACACCATTTGTTTCCTTGGGATCCTGGAGCCCATGTACACCATTGGTTTGGACTCAGGGTTTTTCAACTGCCCTAGGTGGATTCTTCGTGTTCACCAAGCCCGGTTAAAGCGCCGGACATTCGCTTTTCGTCCTCTCATTTTCGTAAACAACACCCGTGATGTGAGAAGGCAATGAGTATGACTTCTCTGTCAGTGATTGAATGCACGTGACCATGTGAGAGCATTTGGAGAGAGAGCTGACTCTACTGATTCTCGGCCATAACAGGGCATTTGCGGGCTACTGAATGAATTCTATATGCACGTTCAAAACTGGTGATTATTATTCGTGTTTGTCTGATAATTTAGTCTAATTTAAAATAATCAAACATAATAGAATGAAACTTTTGAACTGGTATTTATGTAGATGATCATCAAAGAAAAACTGTACTACAATAATGATGTTAGATTCCACTTAAGAGAATAAAACGTGCATCCTGTATTCCATTGCTAGCCACTATCTCCAACTTTGTTTAGAACAACTTTGAATGGTTATTATTTACTTGCACATCAACCTGTAATTTAACTAACCCAACTGTTAAAAATTCAGGAGTTTTAAGGAACTATTTTAGCTTAGTAGAAAACTCTTCAATACAGTGCTTAACTATAACTTTGTCACAGACAGAGCAAACCTAGAATTTATAAGTGTCACAGTAAGCACGCTACTTTAAGTGATCAGTACAATTTTGCTCATTGCATTCTGCTATTATTCTGAACATTCACTCTCTAACCGATCTGCCTAGTACTATTGAACCTAGAAGAACGAGTATTCCAACCAATATTAATCGACTAAGTCATTGTGATGTGCAAGCCCAACCACTACGTCAAAGTAGTAGCTGCGGTCGGGTACAAGTCTTGACATTTCACGGCAGTCATCCACTAATCATCATTGATGATAACTATTTCACTCTTTCGACTTAGTTGAACTTTTTGCAAAAAATTCTTCTTGAAGTTATTTACTAGCTAAAATCAGTCTGTAATGCAGATTATTTGATAATTGACTAAACCGTCACTGGCTTCCATTCTGAGCTATGTCTGATAACGTCTCAGGCCAGGGAATTACACTATCCCTTGGACTCCAATCTTTGAGTTTCGATTGGTTGACAGATGACAGTCTTATGCAGTTTTTTTTATACCTCGGCACCATGTCATAAACTGGCGACCATTTCTGATTTTCCCAACCAGTGTCAGCATCGGCAAATAAAGCAAAATGTGTAAGTCGCTAAGATCACGTTCATAGTACATATCCAACCTATTGAAGTCGGTGTTTGAAAATAGTGATCCTGATTGAATTATTGTCACTGTACTCATGCTTCATCTCTATAATCCTTTATATTATCACTAAAATGTTATCTAAATAACAGTAATTTAGTCTCTTTTTTTTGTTTCTATCCAATATTTTAGGTCATAGTCAAATTGAAAATCCAAGATTCGCTTCAATGATTGATAAAGCTATTGATCATGTTTTAGACCGTATTAATAAAGGGAAAGATATTAAAATTGGACCGATATTCCAAGAGAGATTAAGTTCTGTAAATAGATGCAATAATACACTTGATCATATCGATCTGTCGTCTAATCGTGTTGACATTGATGATGATGATGATGATGATAACAACAACGATGCCAATATCACTACTTATAACCATGTTGTATATGATAGAAATCAACATAATCTTAATATTAAACCTAAAAAGAATTTAGTTGCCATTTCACCATGTGTATCATTTATGGTGAAACCAGTTCAGAGTAGTGCTGGTAACAACATCAAGCTGAATAATAGTAATACTAATAATACTAATAATAGAAAGCATCAATTATCCACTGAAGATTATGCAGAATTAGAATCTTTTTTACAAAACGATTCTGTCATAAATCATGTTCATTATTCAACTGATTATGTTGTTGTTGATGACAATGAACAAAAACATAAACACAAAAAACGGAAATGTACAAATGATGATTAGATAATAAAACAACGGAATGACACTACCTGTACATATGTTCATGTGTGTGTGTGTGTTTGTGCTTGTATCCAACTTCACTTTTGTACATAGTTACAAGTACTATATATATATTAGGTCGGTTTTTTTTGTTTCGTTATACCGCGTGATATCTGTCTGTACTTTACCTGTTGACTAGTCCATTTATCACATGTATTACATAAGTGCTTCATTGTTTCATTTATATAACCTTTTGTTTTGATATAGTAACAAGGCAATAAGATCTAATTTATATAAATACACAATCTATTAACCAGAGAGTTTTCAATTTTCCTTTCAAGACTTATATGCTGCTTTTTTTTCGAGATTGTATTCATCATCAATTGAACAATCTACCTAATCCCTTAAGTTATAATGAAAAATTGTAATCTTTGGATTAGGTCCATGTCTAATGTGATAAAGCTATTCCTAATGGCATGAATTGATTGGAGCTAAAATCGTGCTACCATTGGACACTGATTGAGTGGTCCTGCCGGTTAAGCATCCACCTTGGGTCCGACCTGCGATGGGGTTATGTGCATGTATTTCGAAAGGGAGTCTCGTACCAGGGTATAACAGCTATCTAGCGCTTCCTAGTTCTTAATAATATCACAATTGAGGTCAATTTGTAAGTGGTACAACCTAGAAATTAGTGCTATCCACTCCAAACCCTTCAATATTCTTATAATTTCGGTTCCCTGAATAAAAAGATGAATTCCACGACATGCAGTCTTGTCCAAGATTTACACATATCTGACAATATAACAAATAAGAATGACACGAGAATAAACGATCGCAATAAGTATTAAATCAAATATACTATGAGAATAAAACGGTCACGATTGAAAAGTTTAAAAACACTGAATATTATTAGAGGATGCTGTCTAGTCCATTTTGTAATCGTTAGTTATAAAATTACTGACATGCATTTCACCATAACGAGAAATAATTACGGAAAGATTCTAATGGAGTAGCTATTTAAATGACAAGGTTTATTATCCGAGCACAAATGTTCATCATTTTATTGGATTTGTTTACTAAGCTCTCTAATTGTTTTCATTTATATATATAGAGTAATAAGTAGTATGTAACAGTCTTTATCCCTGTTACTAATTAGTAGCCAAAGGTTTTTGCCTTGTAACGTTTATGGAAGCTATCTACCAAGATTCGAATAAAACAGTACTAATCTTTGGCAGTAAAACCCGCTGTGTTCATTAGTTTTTACAGCTAGTCATTATTCTTGGGTGCTATTAGAGGTATGAGGGCGGGTATCGCTTCTCGATTGCCCACACCGTGGAAAGGTACTTCTGGAGGCACCTGAAAAGGAAGTTTCGTTAGGAGTGGTCTTAGTGACCTGGGAGCGTGACCACAATGCCCAAGGGGCAACTACTTGAGGTCGATCACACACGAACCGCCGGAGAGGGGTATCCGTGGTATAAAAAGAGGTGTGCATTTTTAGGGTCGACCTTTTCTAACCCCACCCCTCCTTGTGGGAAGACAGCATCGCTATTATGCTGGTTGTCTGATTGGAACACCTTACTGCCGTCATACTTCTGTACAGTCAGCAGTACGACTTTGCTTTCAGACCTTGGGTTTGTTGCTTTTAGTCTTACCTTTCTTAAACCGACCTGCCTAACTGGCATGGTAGGACCTTGAGGATTGATTTTTCCAGCCAGTATAGCTTGATTGTTTCATCACGATAGGCAAGCCCGACCACCACGTCAAGGTAGCAGCAACGGTCGGGATTAGTTTTTTACAGATATGAATGGAGAGGGCCTTCTTTGTATTCGTTTGTTACGGTACATTGAGTTGGTCGTATTAAAATTAATATGTTCAAATGGAGAGGATTGTAATTTCATGTCTAAACATTTGTAAGTATATCTTGGTTTCTGAATACTGGACTTTTTTTTCTAAATTAAACTGTTAACTAAGCCTATTTGATGGGTATATGACGAAGTCTTACGTTAGTCCATTGCCTTGTGGATTAGACCTTTAGGTTGAAGGCTCAGGGTGTGGCCCCCTAAGAAAACCACCTGCTTCGGTTTGGGAACCCAAAACAGTATCATAGCCCACACGCAAATCAAGTGACTTGTGTGGTGCATATGTATTCGGTGCCCCTTTGTACCAATATTTATGTGTTCAAAGCTTATTTGCTAGGAGAATTAATAAAATATCTTAAATATAAGATTGGGTTGTTTTCTTAAAAAAGCAATGACATGATTGTAATGTGTATATAGTGTCGCTCAGCTTTAATGGTTAAGGATATTACCTTAACCCAAATAGAAAACACCATGTACTAATCACACATTTATCTTGACTATTGATATAATGTATAAGTTATGTGTGATGAAAATGCGTAAGTAGAATGTTCAAGTCCAGGCGAATGTTAAGGAAAAAGTAAGAACACATGATGCGCTAATTATATCAGATCCAGTTGTATGTACTGGAAGAATGGAGCAGTCGCTTTTTCCCCACTTATCACTATTCGTCTGTATATGTTATCAACTCACTACTAATAAGTAGGAACTATCATTAGGCCGAATATTTGAAAATACTGTATTAGGATTATGCAAGTGAAATTGTTTAGTGTTTAGGCAACTCGACATTCGGCTAATGAATGTGAAGATTAACATCCGACATGAATCGTCCAACTATAACAAGTGGGACAGTTTATCCGACGACTCTGCCTACAAATACGTCTGTTTTGATATTCGAATAACTTATGGTGGCTTTTTGGAACTTTAAGTGATTGATTAAGACCCTTTGAAATGCCACTCATAAGGAGTGAAGCCTTCAACTGTCGCTGGATACTCGAATCTCATATTATAAGCCAACGTCAATTCCCTTGCAATTTCTGATGCTTCTAACTGGTTGATATCATTTAGCGCAAAATCTATAATCAAGCAGGGATACCTACTAACTGGAAATGACTAACCTTATAATTATTTACTATCATTCAGTGACTACTAGATGGGGAATATTGCGATTTTACCTGAACAGTTCTCAAGTAATCACTAAACACTCAAACGCTACGCCCTAAACCATATTAACTCCTTGCATTTAGACATAAACGAGATAAAGATGAACGTTTTTCGCAGAAAGTATGCAGTAGATGACTTAACTGATGATTTGGAAATACCTTTTATGAACTATGTTACGAATCTTATAGATCATAGATCAGGGAAGAAACTCATCCAGTTACTGAAAGGACTGGAAAATCAAAACAGCCGAAAGGAAATTTCCAACAGACTTTAAAAGGTATGTACATAGTTTCTCAAGTGTCGAACTAGATTTTTTTAAAAAACTAGAGGTATTAACCCCAGGTCTAAAATTTTGTGATACGCCTAATAACTGTAACCGCATCGATGCAGACATACAATTCGAGAATCTTTATAGTCATACATGTGATTTAGCTGTGAAGTCTGATCAGCAATTAGAACATTTTAAATCAACACTTGTAGAGTAGTGTTACCAATATAAGAACAATAAATTCAGTTACAAAAGCATTCTTACGAAGATGCACAAGGAAGCTATTAACCTACTTCTCAAGGATGAGACGTTATTGATTACAAAACCTGACAAAGATCCAGGTGTTGTTCTTCTTAATAAAAGTGATTATATTTAAAAAATGAGTGCACTCTTAAATGAAAAACTAAAGTTTCAAAAAATAACTGACCAGAAAGATTTGAAACATAAGATAGAGAATGAGCTTACCAGATCTTTGAAGAAGCTCAGGGACCAACAGACTATCTCATCGGGTTTATATGAAATGATTAAACCAGTGGGAACCTATCTGCCGAGATTGTATGGATTGCCAAAGGTACACAAACCGGGGATCCCATTAAGACTTATTCTAGATATGTACAACTCTTCTTACCATACTATAGCTAAATGGTTGGTAACTGTATTGAAATATCTGCACGAAAAGCTTGTAAAATATAGTGTTAATGATGTGTTCCAATTTGTTGATAAAATCAAAAATGCAAATACGTTGGGACTAAAGATGACGTCATTGGATGTAATGTCGTTATTCACAAACGTCCCACTCATAGAGACTGTAGAATATGTAGGCGAACAGCTGATTGAAAATGAAACTACTGCTCCTATTAATGTAGTGAGAGGTATTACTCAAATGCACCATGAATGTGAACATCAAGTTCAACGGTGAAATATATAGACAAACAGATGATGTTGCAACGGGTTCATCACTAGGCCCTATACTAGCTGATATTTTTCTAGCCAAACTAGAAAATGGTCCACTAGAAAAATTATTCAAAACTTCACATTTTACTGTAGATACATGGATGACACGTTCATCCTTTTTAAAGATAATAGGTCGCCGCAAGAGGTTCTTAGGCGATTTAATGGAATGCATCCAGCCATTCAGTTTCCATCTGAAGAAGAGAGTGATGACGAAATTGCCTTTTTGGACGTTCTCTTGACTAACATAGCGGATGGATCGTTAAAAAGGAACTTTAACAGGAAAAGTACATGTACCGGGCAGTATACGAATTTCCTGAGCTTTGTGCCTCTACAGTACAAACGAAACTTGATCAAAACCCTTAGTTACCGAATACGAACTGTATGTTCTGCTGATATAGTTGAACAAGAGCTTAACACCTTGCATAATACTCTCAGGGAGAACGGCTACCCTAGAAAGTCTATAATTAAATATATGGTCATGAAGGTGAAATATAAACAGTGAAGAAATCCCTGTTCATGCGTCTACAATTCAGAGGGGATGCGGCTAGTGAAATATTAACTCAAAGATTATGTAGGACAATACGAAAATCTTTTAACGCCGGTGAACTACGATTAGTGTTTCCTACACGCCCAATAGTTACACCTAGGCTAAAAGATGAATTACCTAAAATGACCACCTCATTTTGTATTTATCAGTTTGACTGCTCCTGTGGAGCTAGTTATATTAGTCGAAGTTCTAGGAATTTACATTTTCGTGCTCGTGAACACCTTCCAGCGTGGCTAAACAAAGGTTTGGTAAAAAATGTGAGCAGCTCAATATTGGCCCATTTAGTACAAACTGGTCACAGTGCCAGTATAAACCAATCTTTTTCAATTATTTATGAGGTAATTTTTTGCCAAAACTGATCAGACTGAGTCCTTCAAACAGCTGAAGCAATAGCCATCCGGATAAAGAAACCGGAGCTTTACGTACAGAAATATATTCAACCACTCCTCCGCCCTTGGCCAGCATCGAGGCCAAATAATCAATCGTAATCTTAACTATTGAATGACCTAACTTGACTATGACCTTTCGT